AGCTTTTCACACCAGTACCGCGCCCGATTGTCTCTCCCGGCCGAAATAGCGGCAGGCGAGCTTCTGAATTAATGCATTGAACAACTGCTCCCTACGACATGATTGCCGATCCGCGCGAACCTGGTATAGGAAGGCATAACCCCCTACCAACATGAACATAAAATGGCTTGTCTTCGTGGTTTGTTTCCTCCTCCGATAGTATTAACATCGCTCAAGGAATAGCAACTGTTGGTGAAAGCGGGTGTCGGCTACGACAGTCACAAAGGAAGGGCGATTAGAGCCGCAGAGCAAGGACAAGCCGACAGACAAACCCGTGGAGGAAGAATGATTCCCGAATTTGTTCCGAGCATCCATTCATTGCCCTCTCGGTGTCAGCGCTCATCTGGGGGCTTTACTCGCCTAAGTTAAAAGTTACAGCCCGGGTTGTGATCACCGCATCAGCATCATCTTCTGGGACCCAGCCCGGTTTCTAGGGATTAACTGCCGTTGTCTTCACTGGAAGAAAAAGTGATGGGCTACAAGCATGTGCTTTTATTATTTGCGAGTTCTTTCAATGGTGGAGATTACACTGACATGAAGTAAAAGCTGACCACACACTTCTGAAAATGTGAGCCCTCAGTCTTTTACCATTTAACGTCCATTTATTTTCATGGCGATGCCTTTTCTCATTCTGGGCAGTCTGAGCAGAAAGGATGAAGTACTGTTAGAAATCAGCTATGTTCCTGGGACATTTCTTGGCAGACAAGAAGCAGAGTATTGCAAAAAAGGTTTGAGGAGGGTGTTGTTCTGTTTTGTTTTGAAGGAGAGTTGTTGCTGTGCAACTTGGCATATCCAAGAGATCAGGATAGTTCATGTAGGGACACATATAACTTTGAGCAGCTGAGGGTTGCTCCACTAAAATCAGTGATTTACACCAGAGTTAAACATAGTACAAGAGAAGTCTTATGTAGGAAGAACCAGATCCTCAGCTGGTATAAATTGCTGTGCTGTATGCATTTTCACAGAGATTCATTTATACCAGATGAAGATCTTGCCCTGGGGGTTGATCCAAACTGGAATCAATCTCCAAACCTCCAGAGCTAAACTGAGGATGTCTCATTTTTCCCCAGCTTAATAGACGTCTCATTTTTACCAGCACACACTACAGGTTCCTAATCACTATGTCCCACTTCTAGTTCTTGCAGCTTTGCCATATGCAGCAACATGACCCATCATCAGAAGATCTTGTAGGCTAATTGCATGAACACCAAATGAATGTGCTTCAGTACTCACAGTGATTGATCTCTACTGTAACATTAATATACACGAATGAAGAGTCTACAGTTGTGAGCTAGCTAGTCTGTCCTTGAAGATAAATGTCATAAAATAGGCTCATTATGCATTATATATGTATATCGTTTTCTATCAGTGGTTTTTAAGGTTGAAGTCCCTTTAGACAGCATCATTTAATGGGCAGTCTACACTTCCCAAGAAGGGGACATTTTAAGAAATTGCTAGTTATGGGGTCCATGGAACTACATTGACAACTACATCAACTTGGTCTCTGGTTGTAACTTGTGACTAAAAACAAAAAAAGCAACCTGAAAAATCTACACCATTATTATGTTATGACACTGACAGTCTTGAAATGCCAATACTGCCCAAGAAATAGAAATGCTGCTCAGGTGGTAATGTAGGTCCAGATCCTCAAAAATACTGAGATGTTCCCAGTCTGGTTCTTAAATACTTTAGAGATTCTGGACCAGAGTGCCTAGATGTTATTTTGTAAACTAATGATGCTTAAATGAGGATTAACTGAGGGTCAAAATATGGCCTATTTTACAACATTGGGGTGAATGTCCCCCAAAGGCCTGAAACCTCTTTGAACTGTGCCTTTGTTCTCATCTAGAATTATGTAGCTGTAAAATGTTGCCAGACATGAATGCCAGTCTAATATCACAGCATTTTCCATTTTTTGCATGCATGACAACAACTGTAGTTGTTTGCATCTGGGGCAAATATATTGGGATTACTCACAGCCTGGCTTGTAGGTTGTGCATTAGGTAGTGCTCTTTTTGTTTTCTCAACTTCTATTTTTGAATGGTCATCCAGGGTTGTGGAACTGCTCGGTTCGACTACTATGCTGGAGATGTTCCACTTGTTTCCAGGTAGTGATCAGTCTTGGAGCATGGTTCAGAGAAGAGGGTTGAATACACCCTGTTTGGCCTATTAAATCTTGCTTCCTTCCTCATTGAATGTGGTCCTGCAGACAAGGAGATCCAATGCCTATGAAGCAGGTTTTATCCAAAACAGACTTAATTTTCAAAGATGGCCCCATTCTAATCAGTGGTGACAGGTACTGCTCAGCCTGTCTACAGTGAGATGACTGAAGAAGTTGTATTTGCCTAAGCTCTATATGCTGTTTTCGAGAGAGACCTTTTATTTTAAAGCAGGCACAGGCTCTTGCCCTCAAACAGGATGATGGTCAAGTTATCACTGGAAGGTCTGCCCAGTTATTTCAGTGGGCAACAGATCAGGGTCAGAATCTTTTCCTCGTCTCATGTTTTAACTTTGCAGTAACTTTGCAACAATGTGGTTAGAAATTGTAGGCTGAGAAAAGACCAATCTCCCCCTAACAGAATTAAAACAGCCTAAGGGGGAATGAAACACTACACTTTAAGAAGCAAGCCTGAGCCTATAAGAGCACAGCTACAATGGCAAGCATGTCAGCAATTGCTGAGCATGTGAGGACGGGGTTGTCAAGAACGTCACTTTGCCATGCTAACTAGCAGGCACCCCACTCTGAGTTTGTGCCTTCTGGCAGCTACACCCGGTATTCTTCGTCTCCCTTCCAAAGCACACATCATATGGGCCAGGTCCTCAGTGGCATAGCTTCATTGGCTTCCCATGCCAGTTTACAGCAGTCCAGCACCTGGCCCTCCTTGTATTTAGGGAGAATAATGAATAAATAGCTAAGCTATCTCAGCCGATATAACACCAGGGGTTACTAGTTCCATTACAATAGACTTGTTGTTGTTGTTATTATTATAGATCACAGCAGTAAGAACCCAGTGCCATCCTAACTGCTGGAGTGAGTTGCAGTTTCCCTACCCTAGACTGCAGATACACACTGCAGTTCTAGTAGCCCAACTTCCTGCTAGCATCTACCACGCTATCAAGTAACATGACGAGGCAGCCCCTGGAATACAGAACCTGGGCTTTTAGATCAATGTATTTTAGGGGCACCTTTATTTGAGTAGAAGAATAAGGTGCCTGAAAGATTCCTCTGTCTTGTTCCCACACTCGAGACAGACGGGATCATCTGAATCCTCTTGGACCTTGTTTGTTTAACACGGGGAACCAGAGGGTCACCTTTTCGAAAGAGATCAAGTACCCCCATCCCCACCACCAAAGGGGGACGTGGGTGGGTGGGGGTCTTTGATAGGTGGTGGGCACACAGTGCTATGTTCTGACTTCACGTGGCCTGTGATAACACTGGGATTGAGCGGGGCGGGGGGATCCCACTGAACCCCAGGGACATAGGGAGACAGGGAGGATCTGGCTTTCTGGGTAGTCCCCCCTGATCCCCTCACCTTGCCAGCCCCTGAATATGCCTGTCTCCAGCGGGGTGCAGGTGACACCCTGAATGCACCTTGGCATCCCTAGCATCCTTCCTAGAGGGGATCCTTGTCCCCACCACCGTTTTAACCATGCATCGGCTTGCAAAGCATCCACGGGAGATGGGGCAGCCCTCTGAGCGCAGCTCGGTAACCGTAAGAGTGCTTTAGAGGCACAGAGAAGCAGCGCTGGAAGGGACCTCCAGAGGTCACTCAGTCCACCCCCCTGCCTGAGGAAGAGTCAGCCCTAGCCAGCCCATCCCCTAAACTCTAGCTGGAGCAAGAGGCAGGCAGCTTTCACGGCAGCAGACACGAGCAGCCGTGCCTTTAAACTCCTGTGGGGGCCGGCCGTATATCTGGCAGCTGCTCGGCTCACTCGCAGCGCCCCGGCAAGAGGCTTCCCTCGGCAAGGCGTGCAAGGGGCAGAGGCTCTAGGAAGAAGTTCCCCAGAGCGCGGCTCAGAGCAGCAGCAGCAGCAGCCGGGGCGATCGCGCCTGCTCCCGGCTACCTCGGACAGCTCCCCCTCCGCACCCCCGCCCCCAGCCGGGGTAACCCGGACAGCTCCCCGTCCCTGCCCCGCCTGCCCCCCAGTCCCGGGGGTACCGTGGACAGCTCCGCACC